TTTCACAACAGGGGGTTCGAACAGTTCTGTCCACTCACGCCCCCCCCCCCGTCGCCGCGCCATCAACAGCAATTTCGGGGGATCTGGGGGGGCATATTGACAGGGTTCGAACATCATGTCCATGTACGGTCCGGACTCCTGGCGTGGCATTTTTTTCACAACAGGCGTTCTCGTTCAATTTCGGGCCCTGGGGCCCTCACAGATCGATCCGTCTCGAAGCGTGATGTGGAAAGACGGTGTCCCAGGCTCCGGGCTTCGGGGCTCCGGAATATTCGGCCACGCGCAGAGGGGAGGGGGGAGGGGGGTTCCTTAGAAACACCCCTGCTGCTTAGAGGGCGCGATTGTCTGTAGATGTACGGCTGGGGCCTTCTAAGGAGCAGCCTGCTTCTAAGAAGCCTCCCCCCCTCCCCCTGTAGCCTCCTCTGCGCGTCGCCAAGGTATGGTTTCTCCAATCTGGCGTTTCTGCTTCCGGGTTTCGGCCTCCGGTTGCCTGGGGACCGGATTCGGCCTCCAGTTATGTGAGAACTCACGGTAGCCTTGTTGAAACATTTGGCTTGTCTTTTTTTGCTGTTTTTCTTGAAACTAGAACAAACTAGTGCCCTTTAGTGCGGAAGTCCAGGAAGGGGCCTCCCGGAGTTCGGCCTCCCGGATTTCGGCTCCATTCTCGATGCATCGAGAATGGAGCCAGGACGAAGGATCCAAGCACCCCCGGGGGAAGGGGAAGGGGCCTCTGGGGCCGCGGATTGACAAGACCACATCGGCGGATGTCTGGGCAGTGGTGCGACCTGGCGCAGAGCTGCCCAAGCAGGCCACACCTCCCACGCCTGCAGCACCGAAAAGAGACGGGGCCTGTCTCGTCGTCTTCGGCGTCCAGGGGCCCTGGCCGCGCCCCGGGACCGCCAATCGAGGGATGCAGCACGACAAACCGGCCCCCAGGGAGTGGTCCCTGGAGATCCGACGTTGCAAAAACTTGCAGCATCGCAGAAAAAATCACGCCCGGAGCCCTGGACCCCATCTCTCGGCGTCATTTTTCGTGCTGGATCGATCTGTGAGGGCCCCAGGGCCCGAGATGGAGCGGAAGCGCCTGCTGCGAAAAAGTTGCCGCGCCAGGAGCTCAGGGTCCGGACCGTACATGGACATTATGTTCGAAGCCTGTGGCCCAAGATGCCCCCCAGATCCCCCGAAATTGCTACCGATGGCGTGGCGACGGGGGGGGGCGTGAGTGGACAGAAATGTTCGAACCCCACAGCGCCGCCTCTACTGAGATCAACATTGATGCCGGGGTCGCGGGGGTGATTTCGAATCTCCCTCGAATGTGTAGGGGTTCGAATCTATTGTCCATCTACTGGAGCTCCAGGGAAACCTCGCATGGGAACAAAAAGGCATCAGGGGGCTGGAGCGATCGTGCGCAGTCACCACCGGAGCCCAAGACCCCACCTTTCTGCAGCCGCGGCACTCCCCGAGCTGGACCGAGTCGCGCGGGCTCCACCAGGGCCTGAGATGTTTCGAGCAGGGGATCGAGTGCAGAATTGTGTTGCCCCAGGATTGGCTTTTCCTTGTCGCATCCACGGGCCACGCGTAGAACCTTTGCGCAGATCTGCGAACGGCGGACGTACTTTTTCTGAGGAGGCGACGTGAAAATCAAGTCTGGGGTACAGTGCCGTTTTTTATACATGCTCCGCGTGCGGATCATGTATTGAAAATGCAGGGATTTAGTATTACAGACAACGATGAGTTCATGCATAAATTTATTCATAAATGAATCATGTATAACAAACCCTATATGTTTGTGAAGAAAGCCAATGTCTTAAAAACTGCTCTGTGCATCCATTTTCTGTGGTCGAATCCCCCAGTCGCACACCTCGGGTGGCGACGTCGCCCCGCGGGAACACACGCTGCGACGGCAGGCTCTCAGGGCCTGGGACGCCCGGCGTAACCCAGACCCCATCGCGTCGTGACGAGATCACGACGGGAGGCTTCTCGCCTCCTCCTCCCCTTCCTCCTCCTCCTCCTCCTCCTCCTCCTCCTTCTCCTCCTCCTCCTCCTCCTCCTCGTCCTCCTCCTCCTCCTCCTCCTCCTCCTCCTCCTTCCCCTCCTCCTCCCTTCTCGATGTGTGCGTGTCATCCTTGCGCAGGGGCCATGCCAATCTTCTCTGTGTCCTTCCAATTTTAGCGTGTGATCCCCGAAGGGAATCCGTCCTCGCCGTCCCCCCACCCCGACTCCTGATCCGCCCTGCTTTGGGGAAATTCGTAACAAGGGCTTGGCATTTCCGCCTTGCTTTTCAAGCCCCGCGCTGATGCCAGTTTCCGCCCTACTTTTCTGTTGCTGTTTCCGCCCTACTTCTGTGGATTTCCGCCCTACTTTATGTTGGGTGCAGAGATTTCCGCCCTACTTTTCGGCTTCTTATAGGTGGATTTCCGACGCACTTTGAAGTTTGAAAAAACAAGCCAAAGTAAGGCGGATCTGGAGTCAGGGGTCCATGAGAAACCCGTCCCAGGGAATGGGTCGAGACCTCTGCGGGCCGACCTCGTGAAAAAAAACACGACGTCGGGGGTCTGCGGTCTCGCTTCAGCCCCCAGGGCCCTTGCTTTTCCCTGGGGCCGGCTCTGCACGTCCGGCAATCGCCACAAGTTCCCCGCCTGCGCCTTTCTTCCCATCCCTCGCATCACCCCCCCGTTACAGTCAACCCGCATAGTAAGGATGAGCAGCTTTCCCAAGGGTGTCCTTGCACTGCGTCCTTGCATCCTCGGCCCATCCTAGGCCACTTTCGCTGGCCGCGCCCCGCTCGCAAAGCGTCGACATGGCCTTCCAGGGCCCTTGTATCCTTACCGCGCATCCTTATGATACGGGTTGACTGTAATCGGCGCCATCCCAACAGACTGATACTATGTGTGCGTCGCCCCCCCCAGGGGGCGACGCGCGCACCGAGAAATCTTATAGTATATGCGTCGTGGCGGGCGCTTTCTGGCCACATCCGCTCGGGAAGCGATATACTACACGATGGGTATACCATATGTTCGCGCCGGACGCGCGCCTCCAAGGAGGACATATAGTACCAGTATGTCCTCGCGCGTGCCATGTAGGCGATGCCCAAATCGCCAAAAGCTTCCCGCCGCGATTTGTTGCGCACGTCCCGAGCACGTCTGGGGAGGGCCCCCCCCCGCTGCTGCTGGTCCCGACTCCCCCCCCTCCTAGGGGGCCGCTCGTCGGGCTCCACTGTTGGTGGCCCCTGGTCCCCAGAACGGCGGCGACGACGACGACGACGGCGACGGCGACGGCGACGACGACACCGCCGACGACGACGGCGACGGCGACGGCGACGACGACACCGCCGACGACGACGGCGACGATGACGACGACGGCGACGGCGACGACGACGACGACGACGACGACGACGACGACGACGGCGGCGGCGACGACGACGACGACGATTGCTCTGGGCCGCAGCGAGAAAAAACCGCCGGGATAGCATGTCCCCAGGCCCCCTCGCGTTATGAGAAATTCACGACGGGCGTTTCTTTCGCTGCGTTGGGCCTTTGGCGAAGCCGGTCCTGGGGAATGGCTCGAGACTTCTGGGGGTCGATGCTGTGACAAAAATCATGACGTCGGGGACCTGGGTCTGGCGAAGGTCCCCGTGTACCTTCGCCAGACGTGCTATCCCAGCAGTTTGGGGGGCGTGGCGTGGGTGGTCCTACCGCACCCACACTCACCACCAACGCCGCAGCGAGGGGGGTGCTGGACGGGGGTGGTGGGAGGTGGGGGTGTTGGGCAGGGGTGGCGGGAGGCGGTGTTGGGCAGGGGTGTTGGGCGGGGGTGTTGGGCGGGGGGGTGTTGGGCGGGGGTGCTGGGCGGGGGTGGTGGGAGGTGGGGGCGTCCACGCCACGCCTTGCTCCCCCGTCGCTGGCGGGGGTGGTGGCGAAGGTCCCCCTGGCAACTGGCAACTGACGGCATGAGCGTCCCCAGGCATCCGCCGATATGACTTTTTCCAATGCGCTGCCCCCGACCCCTTCCCCGGGAGTGGTTTTCGTCCCAGATTCATTTTTGACGGTCCCGGGGCCCGACAACTTGCCCCGGAGGCTGAAATCCAGGAAAAACCGCCGGATTGAAACAGTCATCCCTGACTCCGGATCCGCCCTACTTTAGCTTTTTTTCCAACTTAAAATTGCGTCGGAAATCCACCTATCAGAGGCCGAAAAAGTAGGGCGGAAATTGCTGCACCCAACATAAAATAGTGCGGAAATCCACAGAAACAGCAACAGAAAAGTAGGGCGGAAATTGGCATCAGCGGGGCTTGAAAAGTAAGGCGGAAATTCCAAGCCCTATTTACGAATTTCCCCAAAGTAGGGCGGATCCGGAGTCAGGGATATCCTCGGATCTCTGGGTCTCTGGGCGTTGTCGTCCGAAGGTCCCCCTGGACCCCCTCCGGTTCGTGAGTGCGGTCGTGGACGAGTTCTCCCGCGCGGCCGCTGTCCCGCACGGCGACCCGGCGGGCGGCGGAGAACCGGCCAGCCCCAGCGCGGAGGGCGTCTCGGCCGCGGGCGGGGCGGAGGAGCGCTCGGCGGTGGTCGGAGGGCGTCAAGGTGCGCAGCACCCCGCCAGTGGCGGACGGCAAGAGTGAGGGGGCTGGGCCGCGGGGCGGGGTGGATCGAGGGCGGGCCGCAGGGTGGGCCGCGGGGGGTGGGGGGTCGCGAGGGGGGGGGTCGTGGAGGGGGGTGGTCGGGGGGGGGGGCGTCGCGGAGGGGGTCGCGGGGGGCTCGCGGGGTGGGTTGCGGGGCGCGTGAGAGTGAGGGGGCGGCGGGGTCGTCGGCAGTCTGGGCGCCGATTTTTGCGTCAAGGTGAGGCGCGGGGTGACGACGACGACGACGACGACGACGACGGCGACGATGACGACGACGACGACGATGACGACGACGACGAGGACGACGACGACGACGACGACGACGACGACGACGACGACGACGACGACGACGAAGACGACGACGACGACGACGACGACGACGGCGGCGGCGGCGGCGGCGACGACGGCGACGACGACGACGACGACGATGACGAGAAGCACCAAACTTGCGGAGTCCAGGCCACGGAATCTGTAATCCCACTTCACCCGCGTACCCTGCAGGGATGGTGTAAGACCGTCCGGCCCCGTGATTCTGAGAGCGGCACACCTCTCGCGAAGACTTTCGGAAGTTCGTTGGCTCCAGGAGGTTTGCTCGCCTCGGGATGCTCTCCTGCACCTGCGCCTCGCAGGAGAAGGAGGAGGAGGAGGAGGAGGAGGAGGAGGAGGGGGAGGAGGAGGAGGCCCAGGAGGAGGAAGTGGAGGAAGAGGAGGAGGAGGAGGAGGAGGAGGAGGAGGAGGAGGAGGAGGGGCCAGAATCGTCCCGAGCGGCCGCCGGAGGTGCGAAGCATGGCCTCGAAACCTGGACCTCCAACGATTTTTGAGTCGGGCCTGTCCCTCTACAGGAGGAATGCTCAAAAATAGTACTTTTTTTTAGCCTGGGGAGGAAGTTTCGATTAAAACAAATGTTTGAGCATTTTTCCCCAAACAGCTTGCTGACCGGGGTGCTGTTGTGGTAGAAACTAACTCCGGCCGAGGGAAGTCGGAGCAGAGACATCCTCACAACAATTTTATGGTTTTGGCCGTTTCGCTTGAGACATCCTCACAACTCTCGTTTCTGAGTTGGCGGGATTGGCCGTTTCGCCTGAGACATCCTCAAAAAGTTGCGCTCCCGGACGCCGCGCGAGAGGTGGTCCGGGCCGTTTCGCCTGAGACATCCTCAAAACGTTGCGCTCTGGGACGCCGCGCGAGAGGTGGTCCCGGCCGTTTCGCTTGAGACATCCTCGAAACTCTGAGCCCCGAGGTGCCGTGCGAGAGGTGGTCTGGGCCGTTTTGCCTGAGACATCCTCGAAAAGTTGCGCTCCGGGACGCCGCGCGAGAGGTGGTCCGGGCCGTTTCGCCTGAGACATCCTCAAAAAGTTGCGCTCCCGGGACGCCGCGCGAGAGGTGGTCCGGGCCGTTTCGCTTGAGACATCCTCGAAACTCTGAGCCCCGAGGTGCCGTGCGAGAGGTGGTCCGGGCCGTTTCGCCTGAGACATCCTCGAAACTATGAGCTCTGCGATGCCTTGCGCGAGGTGGTCCGGCCCATTTCGCTTGAGACATCCTCGAAACTCTGACTTCGGAGATGCCGCGCGAGAGGTGGTCCGGCCCGTTTCGCCTGAGACATCCTCGAATTTCTGAGCTCTGAGATGCCCTGCGCGAGGTGGTCCGGCCCGTCTCGCCTGAGACATCCTTGCAACTCTGAGCTCTGAGATGCCGTGCGCAAGGGGGTCCGGTCTGTTTCGCACAAGACATTTTTGCAACTCTGAGCTTTCAGATGCTGCGCGAGAGGTCAGCCTGGGCGCCCAGAAGACCACATGTGACATATCCTCCATGGGGCCCTGCGAGCCTCAGGAGGCCCCAGAGAGGTCCAGGAGGCCGCAGGACGCCCAGGACAGGCCCCAGGGGTCCGCAGGAGATTCCCAGGAGGCTCCCAGGAGGCCCCAGGAGGCCATCTATCAGAACGTGTCAAGTTGATACACATCCGGTGCCGATTCGTTGATTTTTCCTGCTCTTGTGCCCCCCCCTCCATTTTGAGGGGCCCAAGCGGCGACATGTTAGATATCCCCCCTGGGAGCCCCAAGAGGCTTCAGGAAACCTCAGGTGGAGTTCAGGAGGCCACAGGAGGCCCAGGAGGAAGCTCCAGGAGGTCCCCAGGAGGCCCCAGGAGGCCCCAGGAGGCCGCAGGACGCCCAGGACAGGCCCCAGGGGTCCCAGGAGGCACCAGGAGGCCGCAGGATTCCCAGGAGGCTCCCAGGAGGCCCCAGGAGGCTGCCTATCAGAACGTTTCAAGTTAATACACATCCGGTGCCGATTCGTTGATTTTTCCTGCTCTTGTGCCCCCCCCCGTCTATTTGGAGAGGCCCAAATGGCCACAGGTTAGATATCCCGGCTGGGAGCCCCAAGAGGCTTCAGGAAGCCCCAGGTGGGGTCCAGGAGGCCACAGGAGGCCCAGGAGGAAGCCCCAGGAGGTCACCAGGAGGTCCCAGGAGGCCCCAGGAGGCCCACGCAACTCGGAGCTCTGAGACGCCGCGCTCGAGGTGGTCCGGCCCGTTTCGCCTGAGACTTCCTCGCAGCACGTTTCCCCAGAGACATCGTCGCAACTCTGGGGTCCGAGATGCCGCGCGCGAGGTGGTCCAGCCCGTTACGCTGAAGACATCCTCGCAACTCTAGGCTCCGAGATGCCGTTCGGGATCGAGGAGGAGGAGGAGGAGGAGGAGGAGGAGGAGAAGGAGAAGGAGATGGAAGGGAGAAGGAGGAGGCGGATGATGTGCATGAGGGAGCAGGCAGGAGGAGGGGGAGGAGGAGGAGGAGGAGGAGGAGGAGGAGGAGGGAGAAGGAAAGGAGTTGCAGGAGAGGACCTAACGGGAAGCGAGTGCGATGTGGACTTGTCAAAACGTGTGCGAAAGATTGTCCGGCCCGTTTCGTTTGAGACATCCTTCCAATACTGAGCTCCAAGATGTCGCTCGCGAGGTGGTCCGGCCCGTTTCGATTGAGCCATCCTCGCAATGCGAGGCTCGAAGATGTTGCGCGCGAGATGGTCTGGCCCATTCTGCCTGAGACGTTTCGTAGCACAGGAGCTCCAATCACAACCTCTCTCATTCCTTCTCCCGCCTCCCTCTTCCCACTTCCCGCCTGGTTCCTCTTCCCTCCTCCCTCCTCCCGCCTCCCGCCTCCCGCTGCTGCGCCTCTGCCTCTGCCTCCCAGAAAGCTTCAGGAAGCTTCAGGAAACCGCAGGACGCCCAGGACAGGCCCCAGGGGTCCGCAGGAGATTCCCAGGAGGCTCCCAGGAGGCCCCAGGAGACCCCCTTATCAGAACGTGTCAAGTTAATACACATCCGGTGCCGATTCGTTGATTTTTCCTGCTCTTGTGCCCCCCCCCACACACATTTTTGGGGAGGCCCGACGGCCACATGTTAGATATCCCCCCCTGGGAGCCCCAAGAGGCTTCAGGAAGCCCCAGGTGGGGTCCAGGAGGCCACAGGAGGCCCAGGAGGAAGCCCAGGAGGTCACCAGGAGGTCCCAGGAGGCCCCAGGAGGCCCCCGCAACTCGGAGCTCTGAGACGCCGCGCTCGAGGTGGTCTGCCCGTTTCGCCTGAGACTTCCTCGCAGCACGTTTCGCCCGAGACATCGTCGCAACTCTGGGGTCCGAGATGCCGCGCGCGAGGTGGTCCAGCCCGTTACGCTGGAGACATCCTCGCATCTCTAGGCTCCGAGATGCCCTGCGCGAGGTGGTCCAGCCCATCTCGCCTGAGACATCCTCGCAACTCTGAGCTCTGAGATGCCGTGCGCAAGGTGGTCGGGCTCGTTTTGCACAAGACATTCTCGCAACTCTGAGCTCTCAGATGCTGCGCAAGAGGTGGTCCAGCCTGGGGGGCCAGAAGACCACATGTTACATATCCTCCCTGGGAGCCCCAGGAGGCCCCAGAGAACTTCAGGAGGCCGCAGGACGCCCAGCACAGGCCCCAGGGGTCCGCAGGAGATTCCCAGGAGGCTCCCAGAAGGCCCCAGGAGGCCCCCTATCAGAACGTGTCAAGTTAATACACATCCGGTGTCGATTCGTTAATTTTTCCTGCTCTTGTGGCCCCCCCCCCATTTTTGAGGGGGCCCGACGGCCACACGTTAGATATCCTCCCCTGGGAGCCCCAAGAGGCTTCAGGAAGTCCCAGGTGGGGTCCAGGAGGCCACAGGAGGCCCAGGAGGAAGCCCCAGGAGGTCACCAGGAGGCCCAGGAGGCCCCAGGAGGCCCACGCAACTCGGAGCTCTGAGACGCCGCGCTCGAGGTGGTCCGGCCCGTTTCGCCTGAGACTTCCTCGCAGCACGTTTCGCCCGAGACATCGTCGCAACTCTGGGGTCCGAGATGCCGCGCGCGAGGTGGTCCAGCCCGTTACGCTGGAGACATCCTCGCAACTCTGGGCTCCGAGATGCCGTTCGGGATGAAAAGGAGGTGGTGGAGGAGGAGGAGGAGGCATGTTTTAACATGCCATGCCAGCCCGCACTGGACGGGCACGCAATCGACCTTGGAAACCGCAAGGGTCGAAAAACCCTGTTTGGGGATACTGCACTCCGGCTATAATTGTAGCTATTTACCTAACAGCTTGTTCTGATAGGTTTCTAGTGGGGTCAAAAGAGAGCAGCAGATGACTCCACAGGGGGGTCTGGGCGGGTGCCGGACAGGGTGCCGCAGAAGTCGTTTTAAGCTAACAGTCGCACACTTCGTGCTCTTCGACCTCCCAGAACTCCATTCCCGGGCCACATTTTGAATGCCCGGAGCCAACTGTAGGCCACTTCGTGCTTTTCGACTTCCCAGAACTCCATTCCCGGGCCACATTTTGAATGCCCGGAGCCAACTGTAGGCCACTTCGTGGTCTTCGAGTCCCCAGAACTCCATTCCCGGGCCACATTTTGAATGCCCGGAGCCAACTGTAGGCCACTTCGTGCTCTTCGAGTTCACAGAACTCCATTCC